AAAAAAAAGTGATTGCAATATAGACGAAGGCGAACTGAAAATGGTATAACAGACTACTGTCTTACGCGCGTGGCCTTTTCTAAAAGTATATCTGTGCTGTCCAAATTCGTATTGTTGTCTGTCTGGGAATTTGAAAACGCAGGTTATAACACCAAAACAATTCTTCTACACGACTGATGTTACATGTAATTTAACAAGCGATATATTCGGTTGACAAAGCGATATCTCCATACCGTGGATCCCAAAGTCCACACTTTCTTGTGAATGAAAGGTTGTCATGAACCCGAAGCACGATATCATTGCTTCTAAGTCATTATTATTACCCTCTTTATCATCGGTCGACTCTTTGTGCTGTTTTAGTTCTTACCATTTGGAACTCTTTAAATGTGCGTTTTGGTTCTAAGTTCGAAAATTTACCGTTTTGAAAACGACGACATACGACGGCATATTTGTTCTACCATTTATTTTACTGTTGAGCTTAAATTGAAGGAAATCCGTCACTGACGAACTAACAACGGGAGAAGTCTTATAATCATAAACAGCAAGCCGGGATGCGTGAAGCAATTCAAAGGAATTATCCCAACTTTGCTTTTAACACAGACTACACCATAAAAGGTGGATGTTCAACCACCATCACCCCTCCCACGTATTTTCAAATAATTCGCCTACAAAAATGTTCGTTTCTTGTAACTGGCGAGCATGACACTTACGTTGCCTGCTGGTACTCCATTGTTGCGTTGACACAAAATTTTCCTTCTTCTCAAGGTTACTTCTGTTAATGTTCTACTAGTCTGGTCGCTGCACATGGACAGAAGGCTGCATCTACTGTGATCCACTATTCGTGTGCTTAGTTGTGCATTGCTACGGTGCCGAGGGCTGCAAATGCATGCACACGTCCATCTGTAACATAGTTAATGTGACTTTATCAACTAAGGCTGGTCTGGGGTGTGGCTGTACCTACGAAAGAGCACGAAGCAATCATTACGTAGTCACTTGAGAAAGAAATGGTTCTTCCTACGTGGGACTGCTATTAAATCGATAAACTACTCAAGTTCCTATCAGCTGAAAAACTCACCAAATAAATTACATCAAGCAATTCTCACCTAAATTTTTCTATCAACCACCAACTGTAAAACAACTTGCGTGTTTTATTTTTTGTTGTTGTTCATTTTAAACGAGCGTATAATGTTCCGCTAAGAATTTTTTGCATCCAAAGAATATTGAAAGTCATAAAAGTTCTTCCGAAGAGCAATATATTTTGGCTTCAAGACAAAAAGGAGAAATGTCCCTTGGATTGGCCGCCCTTCATCTACTCACATCCATACGTTGCCACTTATCCAACCTGGTTGCCCCGTGATGGGGTAGCAGATATCATGCCCTACTAGGATGCGGGGAGACGTGGGTTTGAATCCTGCTCGGGACGCGAATATTTCGAAAGCCACCTGTAAGTTATTTACAACTTTGTATCATTGGTTTCCAGAGGGTTTGAAGTATGCTTAGTTTACAGTACAAGACACATGACTCGACGCGATACATTCGGTACACGGTATAAGTAGAAGAGTGCCCAAGAAAATCTTCTTTAAATTGACGCAGGTAAGAAAAGGAAAGAATTAGAAATGCCCATGGAGTCAACTCTACAGTGAGCCCGCTTGCTACATTTATAAATCAATTAATATGACTATCAAAACTCGAAGCTTGACTCACATGAATTACACCCAAACAGTCTTTTTCCCTTCATGACCACAGAAATTTAGAGTATCGCTTAAAAATAGAGCTATAACCAGGATATAACATATTTAAAACTAGTGAAAGACATTCTCTTTAAAAAATATTAAAACATAAGCTTTCGGCTATCAGTCTATAGCCTTTAGCGTTATAGGCTATAGACTGATAGCCGAAAGCTAATGTTTTAATCTTTTTAACCAGAGAACGTTTCTCACTAATACCAATTAATTCATACCATGAACCATGTACCGCAGCTTTTCTACAAGCTTTTCACACTGTTTCTCCCAGCTGTACTCCTTTCCATAGAGTTCCCGTAACGCTTGGATCTTTTGCAGCCATTTTCCATGTTTTTCACGGACATCCTTGATTTTCTCTGCCCAATCTTTGGGCTCTTCGGAATCCAAAATACAGAAATTGCCGATTTGGAAGTCCCGCAGTGCCTTAGCAAAGCCTGAATTGCCGCTCACAAGAATAGGCAGACCTGCAGATAACGCTTCAAGAGCAATCAGACCAAAGCCTTCGGTTCTTGACGGCATAATGGCTAGGTCAACTTCACAAAACAAGTCTTTCATTTTGTCTCGGCTATCTACAAATTTTCTAACGGTCAGCTGCTCTTTCGCAATACCACATTTGAGTAATTCTCCTGCTACTTCGTCTTCCTTTCCATCAGGTGCACCCACAAATAAAAGACGATAACGATAAGGTTTTCTGTTCAGTTCCTGATCAGCAAAGGCTTTAACACCAATGTCGTACCCTTTCAGCTCGAAAATCTTAGAATCACCGCGGCCACATAACAACACTTTGAACTCGGAATTTTCATTACGACGTTGTTTTAAGGTAATTCCTCTGAAATAAAAGTGACAATAGATATTTGTTCAAACTTTGTCCACTGAATATTTGTCATATGAGAACTTCAATTTTGAAAAGAAAAAAAGGGGTGCCCGTGCTCATTAAGGAGCAGTGAGGTATAGAAAATGCCCCATTTTCGCTTTATTTAATGCTAATTATAAGAACGCATTCCCAGTAATTGTAAAATCTTTGTGAGCCCAGACTCATGAGAACAACCATTAAACTACAATCAAAACATTGTGTCGGACACAAATAAACGTTTTAAGTTTGATTCAGACAGAAAGCTAAATCCTTGATTAAAAATTTAAACCAAATTTCTTGACATGGTTACCAAACTGCAAAATAGAAAAGACCACAGTGTATCTGCTATTTTCCTTATTTATTCAATTTTGAGCAAGAGAAATTAGATCAGTCTTTTCTCACGCAAAGCTTATGATTAGTTGATTAAAATGACTGGAAAAAAAGCTGGGGTCCCCGTGCTCGTTAGTGAGCTAGAGCCATTTTTCAACTGACAGAGCTTGATATCAAGGCAAATCCGTCATGTTTTCAATATTCGCGTGCACAAGCCCGCGCTAAATAACGCCATAAATTACGTGCAGTAAGAATGCGCGATGCAAATGTGAGGAATCACCTTAATTTTTCGAATTCCTTGAAAAGGCCTGGAGTGACGACAAAAATATTCTTGCCTTCCTCAGATCGCAGACATGAAGAATAAGCCTCTGCCAGTTTCGGTCCTACCGGTACAACAAGATCAGCCAGTTTACAGAGATTAACTTCGATCTGATGTTTTCTTCCAGCCTCAGATATAGCATTAGTATGACGTTTGTGTATGCCAAGTTGCTCTTGAGCAGTATGCACCAATTGAACCCACTGACAGGATTTAGTTTCTCGTAAAACTTGTCCTTGACGACCAAGCTTCATGCCATGACCAATGACAACATCCATAGTGACATCCCGCGGCGGCCAGTTTAACCAATCACGGGGATCTTCAAAGCCTGGGCGTTCCTCTGCCTTAGCAATAGTTATGCCAGATCTCTCAGCCATCATTTTGTGCTCTTTTGTGATCTGAGCATTCTCAGGAACTAAGAGAGTGACTTTCACATTAGGCTGCGCTGCCAAGTTAATTGCCAGCTCTCTGTTTAACGTTGACAAACCACCAGCTAACGAGGCCCACTCGTCACCGAGGAGAGTAATTTTCAAGATATGCATGAGATCTTGTCGCAGAGATGCCATCGGTGATGTAGAAGCGACGCCAACTTCAGAACAAACCTGCAACATGGTAACAGTGAATCAATAAAAGTATCTAACAATAATGAGTGGCAGAATAGTCCTGTAGCCGGGAGTTGTTTGAGATTTCTCCACTAACTTGCGTATGGTTGCATATGGACGACACATCAATGTAGCGTCGTTACTTGTCTGTTGTTCAATTTCGATGTTTTTGTGGGGCCACTGAGTATCTTACTGCATGCACAATGATCAGTTAAGAGGCTATGTCACTAAGAACGCTCCCCTTTTTTTCGGACTCCCAAGAGAGATTTTCTTCATATTTCTACCACAGCTTCCACTATCTATCCTTACTACTAAAATGCATTTGGAATGATCCCAAATATTTGTTCCTCTCCATTTGGAAGATTCATGAATTGCTAGTGTCAATGAGCCGTGAAATGGAACTTTTTTTTTATCTCTCGTGATATTGGTCAGTTTAAAAATACTTCGCGCGGATAAAAGCCCCAGATCATACTTGGAAACTAAATGACACATATATCAGCAGATACATGTGGAAGTGACTAAAATGCAGTTGAAACGATCCCAAAGCTCGTTTCTCTCCATTTGGAGGATTCATCAATCAGAAATGTGATGGCCATTTTTCATTTGTTGCGATAATGGTTTTTACTGCTTGTTGAAACCTTTTAGCGTGAATAAATCCCCCAACATTTGCACAATTCGTATTAACAATGATTTAGTAATACATAGACAAGTAAAAACAAACGATATAATCTCCC